GTGGATTTGGGGTACCCTACTTTCAGACAAATCCATGTGATGGTGTAGTGGTGGTGTTGGGAAAGGGATGTTGGATTTTTCAGTAGCCTAAAACCACCAAATTGATTTGTTGTTTGAAGCACGGAATAAATGGGATACCCCTTTGAAACGCTCAAATTTGGCAGGAGTTTGGGTTCAACAGGCTGCGGATTTGCTATGTAAATCTCCCATTTCCAATCCATTTTGGGGGCGGCCCAAGTATCAGTCATGATCGGTCTATCCCTATAAGACGCCCTGGCTGAAATTGGAAAATCGCCAAAAATGATGGACCCTTTACCTGGAAAATCACTTTCTACATCTTCCAGATAAACGTGTTTTTGTATATGTTTGATGATCACCATTTTCGGATATGTTTGGTGATGATGACATTTTTTGGTCATTATCCAAACCATATTTCTCCTGGGTTAATTTCAGATATGTGTTCATTTTGTTGGGTTTAAAGCATAACCGTGCTAGCTGAAGGTCTGCCCAGTACATGGATATTTTTGAGATCCCAGACGATATGAACGCACCCAACATCCCCCCTTGGTTTTATTAAGCACCTGACTGTTCTACAAGTCGACATATGGCTTCGTCTGAAAATTATGATACACAAATTCTGGTGTCAGTTTCCTATTATTTGCACAAATCGAAACGGCTAACTCCTCAACTTTCAGAAAGAGACATAGTCCCATCCGTATTTTTGCAGCAGGCAACCGCCCATGCTAACCCACGCCAGGAATTCTTGAGATACTACGGGGAAGCAGAAGGCCAAGTGGTCAAGGATGGTGATTTGTCAGGGAGCTACCATGACCCATCCATTTTTTCCAACAAAAATATATGTTGGTAAATCTCTGATGAGACATTTTGGTCTAGCATAGAGCACTTATCGGACAAACCCGGTCTTGATTGTCACTGCTTAGGATGATCCAAATTTAGCTATGAAAAATACCCTTGTTGATGGATGATTGAAAGGAGTTATATTCCCTGGGTGTTGGGGATTACTATAACCCATACTAGGGAAACCAGGAAACCTATCAACTAACTAGTCTATATATATATATATACTGAGATAGGAATGGGTTCAGATCTCCCATCACTGTGTCACTACCGAATCGCAGGTGGTTCAAGTTCCTGGAGTGATTCGGTACCATGCTTCAGTCTATCCTGAGCAATATCAGTAATGTTTGCACCCGATTAGTGTCCTGGTACCCTATTGTGAGAAATTTCTTGCTCCTAATTCAGTCACATGCAAATTGTTGGGGGGGAACTCTATTGTGAGATTTTTTTCCAGATGATATTTTTTCCAGATTTTTTTTCATTTTCTTTTTCCAAATGCTTTAACTTTTTTTTAAAAAAAATATTTTTTCTAATTATTTATGTTTATTAGATTTTTAATTTTATTTTAAATGCCTTATTAAACCCTTATTAAAAAACAGCACCCAGACAATTTTTCCAGGGGGTACCTCATGAGTGGCTCAGTTACTCAATAATATAATTGTTTGGATGGTACTCTATTGTGAGCACCAACTTTTGGGAGTGAAAAAAAAAAACCTTTCTCCACCTTTCTTTGGGTAAAGCTGCCCCCTTTACTGTAGAAAGCCATAGCTGTGTTAAAGCTTTAAAATGCAAGGTTTTCCAAATAATTAGATGCCTTATTAAACCCTTATTAAAAAACAGCACCCAAACAATTTTTCAAGGGGGTACCTCATGAGTGGCTCAGTTACTCAATAATATAATTGTTTGGATGGTACTCTATTGTGAGCACCAACTTTTGGGAGTGAAAAAAAAAAAAACTTTCTCCACCTTTCTTTGGGTAAAGCTGGCCCCTTTACTGTAGAAAGCCATAGCTGTGTTAAAGCTTTAAAATGCAAGGTTTTTCAAATAATTAGATGCCTTATTAAACCCTTATTAAAAAACAGCACCCAGACAATTTTTCAAGGGGATACCTCATGAGTGGCTCAGTTACTCAATAATATAATTGTTTGGATGGTACTCTATTGTGAGCACCAACTTTTTGGAGTGAAAAAAAAAAAACAAAACCCTTTCTCCACCTTTCTTTGGGTAAAGCTGGCCCTTTCACTTTAGAAAGCCATATTTGTGTTAAAGCTTTAAAATGCAAGGTTTCCCAAATAATTAGATGCCTTATTAAACCCTTATTAAAAAACAGCATCCAGACAATTTTTCAAAGGGGTACCTCATGAGTGGCTCAGTTACTCAATAATATAATTGTCTGGATGGTACTCTATTGTGAGCACCAACTTTTTGGAGTGAAAAAAAAAACAAAACCCTTTCTCCACCTTTCTTTGGGTAAAGCTGATGCCTTTACTGTAGAAAGCCATAGCTGTGTTAAAGCTTTAAAATGCAAGGTTTTTCAAATAATTAGATGCCTTATTAAACCCTTATTAAAAAACAGCACCCAGACAATTTTTCAAGGGGGTACCTCATGAGTGGCTCAGTTACTGAATAATATAATTGTCTGGATGGTACTCTATTGTGAGCACCAACTTTTGGGAGTGAAAAAAAACAACAAAAACCTTTCTCCACCTTTCTTTGGGTAAAGCTGGCCCCTTTACTGTAGAAAGCCATAGTTGTGTTAAAAAATTAAAATGCAAGGTTTCCCAAATAATTAGATGCCTTATTAAACCCTTATTAAAAAAACAGCACCCAGACAATTTTTCAAGGGGATACCTCATGATTGGCTCAGTTACTCAATAATATAATTGTTTGGATGGTACTCTATTGTGAGCACCAACTTTTGGGAGTGAAAAAAAACAAAACCCTTTCTCCACCTTTCTTTGGGTAAAGCTGGTGCCTTTACTTTAGAAAGCCATGTTTGTGTTAAAGCTTTAAAATGCAAGGTTTTCCAAATAATTAGATGCCTTATTAAACCCTTATTAAAAAACAGCACCGAGACAATTTTTCAAGGGGATACCTCATGATTGGCTCAGTTACTCAATAATATAATTGTTTGGATGGTACTCTATTGTGAGCACCAACTTTTGGGAGTGAAAAAAAATTGAAATCAATTGAAAGTAAATTAAAAGTAAATTGAAATCAATTGAAAGTAAATTGAAAGTAAATTAAAAGTAAATTAAAAGTAAATTGAAAGTAAATTGAAAGTAAATTGAAATCAATTGAAAGTAAATTAAAAGTAAATTGAAATCAATTGAAAGTAAATTGAAAGTAAATTAAAAGTAAATTAAAAGTAATTAAATTAATTAAAAGTAAATTGAAATCAATTAAAAGTAAATTGAAATCAATTGAAAGTAAATTGAAAGTAAATTAAAAGTAAATTAAAAGTAATTAAATTGAAAGTAAATTAAAAGTAAATTGAAATCAATTGAAAGTAAATTGAGATCAATTGAAAGTAAATTGAAAGTAAATTAAAAGTAATTAAATTAATTCAAAGTAAATTGAAATCAGTTGAAAGTAAATTGAAATCAATTGAAAGTAAATTGAAATCCTTTCTTAAGTTGATTGACCAAAAAAATGTTGAGGGGGGGGCAAAAAAATGTGCGAGTTATAGAGTATCCTCAAATTGTTTAGGGGGGGGGGGCCCTCACACTAATCAGATGCAAACATTAGTGTCGTTGCCGTAATGTCGGTAAAGTATGGCCCATGTTTTCGGTGCTGGGGATTGGCACAGGCGAAAATAAATGGAAGGAGGCAGAGAATTTGGAGGAGCGGATCAGTCAGTGGCACATGAGTACCCTCTGGTAAACTAACGCAACTATGAAAAATCAACATTTTTAATGGGTAAATCTACTATAGATGGCAATTTTCAATAGCTATGTTAGTTTACCAGAGGGTACCTGGTGGATCATGCTGGGTTACAATCCACTTCTACATGGGATAAGCCTAGGAATTTATTTAAATCTCCCACCAAGAGTCTAGGTCACAAAATAGCCCATTTTAAGGTTCACTTCAGCACCGCAACAGGGCCACATTGAAGAACCTGGTCTATGGTATTTCTTGTTTCAAGCATGACCACTGGTTGCTCCACATGGGCCTGTTTGAAAATAATTTGATTAATCAAATTCCATCCATTGATCACAAAAAAATCCCTGCTTTTTGATGGCCATGACTATCACTTTTTTCAGCTTACCCATTAAATATTTTTTAAAAATGATGAAGAGATCCCAAACCCCCGCCGCTTGGCGCCGAGGAACGCCGTTATGATACGGGGCGAAGAAAGATGTGCGCATGGGGACCCTCCTCATGGCAAATCCCTGAACTTACTGAATAGGGGCGTTTGTTCATAGTCTTTTTATGGGGAAAAACATGGAAAAACATCATCAATAGGTGTGGCCCATATAAATCCATATAAATAAATAAATATATATATATATAGATAGATAGGTAGGTAGATAGATAGATACAAACTCAACTCGGTGGATTTTCCCGCCATGGAGGTACACCATTGCCGAGTGGGAGAAAGCCTTCAGTGGTATGGACTGTGGCAGTGGTGGTTGGATCGTGGCAGTGGATGGAAATTAGTGTGAAATTCACCCAATGCCATCCCCACCAACAACAAAAGCATCCCATTTCTAGGGCTATGCCCAATTATATATATATATATATATGTGAACCTCTACTGGGGATGTTTTATCGCATTGGATTTACCTCGTAGATGGACGACCACGTCGTATGTCTTTGAGGAATCCTATGTGGGGCAAAAAACTGGGAGTACACACTGACCTTACCATGCCCTTGTCATGATCCTACATGGCTATCCCGAAAAATATCTCCTAGGGCCTGTGGAATCCCATCGAAGGAGTTTGATTTATATCCCGCAATCCAACAGTTATTCAACAGAGGTACCCATATATAGGCCTATTCTTCAGGCCTATGTAAGGGAATATCCCTAGAAATATGGCCTTATATGGTGCTAACGTACCTCCATGTTAGGATCCTGAAATTCCCATTGAGTTATTGTAACTCTTCGCCAACACTTAAAAAACGGGGGGATCGTCAAAGCCATGACTGGTGGACTCCGTCAAGGACTCCCGCTGGAAACGGAAGTGGAAAAAAGCAGAGGTCGCTCCGCCTCTGAACAAAGCCTTTCGTCTGAAAAGATTGGAGCTGAGGGATGGCCTTTCATGGCCATGGCCGATTATTTGATGATGATGTTTATAGATTGGGAAAATCATGTACTGTATCAATGGGGATATCAGATATACCAAATTAGAGTATCAATGAGCATCATAAGAATAATCATAAGTATATAATTGTATTTATATCTGGGGGTCTGGGGGTGTGGGTATGACTATTTGATTCAAGATTCCGAGCTCCATGTGAGTTGGGATATGGGGCCAAATAGATGTCCCTGCGCTGGCTTCTTGACAATGGATGGATGGAATTTCCAGTTGATATCCCAGGTTTTTCAAAGAAAAAGCGGAATGGTCATGTATACCCTCTGGTAAACTAACAGTTTGCGAACTGGAAAATTACCTTCTTGAATAAGTAAATCAACAAAAAAGTGCACTGTTCAATAGCTATTTTGACATAACCAGAGGGTAGCCAAACGATGAAACCAACAAAAACCACCGTGAGATCATCGTGGATTCTCCGACGATCCCGCGTGGTCATCCATGACGACTGGAGTGACCGGAGACCAGTTGAGTTTTAGTCATGGAAAAGTCATCCCCAGTCATAGATGGAAGTTAGTAAATCCCGAATAATCCCTACTAATTTGATGGTGATTTACTTTTCCGGGATTACTATATATATATATAGATCATCTATGATCTTGATCGGTCAAAACATGTCAAGGTTTTTTGGTACTCGTTCACTGGAAACGGCCAGCCCTTTGGGGTTTCTGACCAGACATATTTAGCTATCAGCCAGTCTCAAGCGAGTTTCAGTAGGGCTGTGCCCAGAAAAATTGGGCCATAGATAGAGATAAAACATGATAAAACGACGTATATGACCGACCAATCACATCTCAGAATCAGTGAGATTTCCCATGTTCTTCTCTAAACTTCCCCAGGGTTGGTTCAAGTTCTATTTTTGCATATAGAATCCCAACATGTTGTGACTGAAACTTCCCACAAGTTGTGACTGGTTCAACTCGCCCTGTCTGACTAGTCAAATCTCAAAGAATTCCAATCCTTCTTTGGTTCGTTGGTCGCTTTTTTTTGCTTCCAAACCTATTCTATTTTTTGCTTTCAAACATTTTTTCCACAATATATGGGATAATCCTTCCCATTGTCTAATATTTTTCAGAGGGGTTGAAACCACCAACCAGTAAAACAATGGATCCCAAAGTCAACTACGGGTTTCACTATGTTTCAATGCTATAGTTTCATCGTTCATGACGACTGGGTGATTTGGAGCTACACCCATGACTCTGGAAACCTCAATTGAGCTGCGTTCAAAACCCCTGTTGATTGATGATTAGTTCGGGGATTATACCCAATATATATTGGTGATTATAATCACAATCAAAGAACGGGGAATCCCGTTCTTAACCAACCAGGATTAAATGGAATGAGAGGGATTTTGAGCACTCAATTTGTGTGGCTCAAAATCATCCTGAGGCAGCTCCAGAAGCAGACGCTGACCCAGACAAGAATGCCACGGCCCCGGCCCCGGAGCGTTCGTTCTACAGCCCTGTTGGTTGGCGTTCATGCGGATTAAACTAGTAAACGTACAGTATATGTAATGTATAGTAGGCTTTTGGACAATGAAAATATAACAGTTAAAATTATCATGTTCACTAATATGGGATATTATGGGATATAATTAATGATATAAAGATTGTTATAGATCAATTGTGATTATGGAATTATCATTATTATGATACAAAATTATCCATCAAAAAAAACATCCAAGGATTCTGATGGGTTGATTCGTGTCAAAAAAAAATCATCCCAGCTACAAGGCCAGGGGATGATTTATCATGAAATGACTTGGGGGGCCATTTTCAGAAACACCCATGTTGATATATATATATATATACAGAGTGATCTATGGAAACATATAATGATTGTTTTTCCATATAAATTGTTACCATATATTATGATTGATTGATTTAGTATCAATGAAAATAATATATGATTCAGCATACATTTAGTCTGGTTGGTGGTTTGGGACATGACTTTTATTTTCCATCAGATATGGGATGTCATCCTTTCCATTTTTCAAGATGGTTAAAACGCACCAGCAACCAAATTATTTTTAACCATCATTAACCATATAACAACCACATTTTAACCATTATTAACTGTATATTTTCCGATAATATTCCAATAATATGTCCACAGTAGTGTAACAAATTACCAGAGGTATGTTAAATAGAGACCATTATTAACCATTATTAACCATTATTAACCATTATTAACCATGGAAATCCCTACGGGAATATACCAGTAGTGTTCTATGGAAAATCTGACCATTCCATTTCGGGTCCTGAGAGTCCTGGTCACTTCGTCAGCCTGGTTTCAAAAGTGGGGAGATCCCATAACTGGGCAAGATATTTGCTATAATTCCTATGGTCTATCGTTATATAATATATATATACATTATGTCTATACTATATGTATATAATATATACATATAATATATGATATATGTTATATATAATATGTATACATATATAATACATATATATATATATATGCTTAGTTCACAGGACCTGCGCTCCCATGGGTCACCCCGCTGAGGGTGAGGGTGACGGCGAGGGTGACCAGGGCGATGGTGAAGTACAGATGGATGCAGTGGAGGCCGGGAAGAAACCTGGGACTCCACAGGGGGTGACCACCGGTTCAGATCATGCGAAAAGTGCCAAGAATCCTATCTACCCTCTGGTAAACTAGCAGTTTGCGAACTGGAAAATCACCTTCTTTAATAAGCAAATCAACTATCAATGGGCCATGTTCAACAGCTATGTTAGTTTACCAGAGGATAGTTGTATCATGTCAAAAATCTAGTTATCATGCTCCAAAATGCCATGATTTCTTTCGGGTATCCCGACATGTTCAAAGCCAAAAGATGGGAATTTTGTGCCAAACTGCCAAGTGATCCCGACATGGCAAAGTGCCATGAATTGTGACATGTTCAGAGCCAAATCAGTAGAGTTTAGAACCTCATATGGAGGTTTCATGAAGTTTCCTGAAATAGGGCTACGCCCAAATCATCCAGTTTAATCGTATTTTCCATGAAATAAAGCCCAAGGGCACTTTCCAAGTTTGATTTCCCCCCGACTCGGCTACTCCAGTCGTTTTGTCCCTCCGGATCAAACGTTCGCAACGTCCCAGGAGGCAGACAAAGAGGAGCAGAGGAACCAAGACGTGCGGTCTCCCATGCAGGGATTGACCCAGTTGCAGGTTGTCTGGAAAAGTCGTGGGTGGTAAACTAATATATAGATATGGAAAATCACCGTTTATAATAGGTAAATCAGTTATAAATGATCATGTTCAAAGCCGGGGACTTGTGAACTTCGAAGTGAATTTTGTAGTTTTGAAAGATTTTTTAGGGGAAAACTCCATTCCATTCGTGAATCATCATGAACCCTATGAAAAAACGGCCATAACTTGGGGTTGTTATGTTCAGACACACCAAGATAATTTGTCTTGGGATAGGTTATAAGTTGCGAACTTACTAAGTTTGTCATTCCCAAATGTGTAGTTTGGGGAAAACCAATGGGGAGGGGATATGGAAAAGCCAGATTTTCGGAAGCCCTGATATTGGGAATGATTTTCGAAAATCAGAATGATCAAGCCCACAAAATGGATTGCAAAAAGTATTGAAAATCACCACAGAATTTGGGCCCAAAGAGATACCTGGCTTCACCGGCTTCTTGAAAAACCAGAGGTCGAGGAGTAGAGTAGACCAAACATGGAAACTCTACTATATGTGTGGACAAGAAACACTAAACAACACCAAAAGACACTTTTTTTGCCAGATCTACATAATGATCCACGTTCAAACTTAGAACATCTCCACTTCCCAGATCGGGGCTTAGGAGGTGGAAACGGATGCCGAAAAGAAGCGGGCTGCAGAGGAGGCCAAAGTGGCGAAAAGGCAAAAGGAAGCGGAAGAGAAGACCACTGCTGAGGCACATGTACATGATACAGATATATACAGATGCTGATTCACTGGGATTCTTCATGGTACTTGTTTTGGGGGATTTTTGAAAACGAATCCAAGAATATATTTTGGACACCCTATGGAAACAAATTAAGCACGGCTTTCCGGAAAATGTCTCATGGATTGATGTTGTTCCCATTAAAGCTCTTTGATACAGGGTGTTCAATTGCCATGTATGTCACTTGTTCGTAGTTGTTGATCGAGGCGTTTCAGAGAAACTCTAGGGTTGATCGTAGATGTCCTGGCAGCGGTCATGTTTGCAGGAGAAGATCGAAGCAGAAACAGAAGGTTTGGGTAAAGTTCGGGGGGTTCTCCAAAATAATAATTTTCGATTGACATCTCCTCAGTTTATCTAACTATTATGTTCATCAAAAATATCTGTCTATTACCCTCTGGTAATTTAACATAGCTATAGAAAATCACCATGTTTAATAGGTAAACCGGTTAACCATCTATAAATGGGCCATTTTCCACCGCCAACTGTTAGTTTACCAGAGGGTAGACGATCATTGTTTTCCTTTCAAGTTTATACGGGAAGCCCTTCTGGAGCGGTGGAAACATCATGTTGGCGCTGCCGGGATGTCATGTCAGATATCAACACGGCCCATACAGTTCATAGTGGTTCATAGTGTTTCCCCATTGGTCCACACTCAGACCATTCTTGGTGAAATCCCCTTTTTGTACTTGTGAAATCATTTGAAATTCACATTCTCTATTGTTAAATGCACCGCACTTTGTGTTGCTTGAATCTACATGAATCTTGTTTTTTTGTGGCATGTTTTGTTGTTTGATTTGTCCCTGCCAGCGCTGCCCTGTGGCAGAAGCTTCCACGACGGAGAAGGGCGAGCAGGACGAGGTTCCCACGGCCGCGCCCAACGAAGCGGGTCAGACCCCCGACGACGCAAAGGAGAGATATCTGGGGGGAAACCCCACTGGACTGGAGAGGCGACATGAAAAAAAATACGAAGTTAACCACAACTGGTTGGTGGTTTGGAACCAGCAACAAATAGGGGTGTTAATGGGATTTAATACGGATTTATATATAACCATTATAAATGGTATATCATAACTGGTTGGTGGTTTGGAACATGACGTTTGTTTTCCATGTCATATATGAGATGTCATCCTTCCCATTGACGAAGTCATATTTTTCAAGATGGTTAAAACGCACCAGCAACCAGACAAATAAGCACCAATATGTTGGGATGTATCCAAAATGGGAGCGTTAAACTTAAGAAGACAAGAAGATCTACCCTCTGGCTATTGAACATAGCCATGGAAGCCATGGCCCATCTATAGATGGTTTACCTATTGAAAAGGGTGGATCTTTCCATGGCTATGTTAAATAACCAGATGGGAAAGTGAATCATCAAAATGGGCTCAAAACCACTGGTGATGGATAGTTCTGTAACCAAAGACGTGGGTTGCCCAGCATTGCCCAGTAGCTTGGCTATAGAATCTCCCACCCGCCCGGGAAGAATTCACCATACCGGCGAAATGGCTGGGTTTCTGTTTGGGTTTACAGTACAATGGAACAATTAATCATAATGTGGTTAAAATGATAATAAACCATCCCCCAAACCACTATAAATAGGTGGTATAGCCCATTCCCAAATGGGTAGTTTATTATTGTTTTAACCACATTACCGTAATTTGGATTTCTTTGAGGGTGTAAATAAGAAAGAAACATTTCCCGCCCTCATTCAAAAACAGACCGCTGTCTCAGGGTTTCTTTCAGGGTTTACATAAGATATAAAATCTCCCACCCCTCCTTGCCATCTTCATCATCATCATCATCATCATCATCGCCGTAAGATTCCTCATGACCTCGTAGCCACCAAAGATGGCAGCTGGTTTGAACATGTTTCAACAACAAAATCCCACAGAAACTCTGTACAACCGACAAATATGCTCAAATATGAAGGTATACGCGGTTAGGGGTTTCAAAGCTGTGCGTTGAAAAAAAATTGGGACCCCCAATGTATATTTTCAGAAAGGTCAACCATTCAGTTTTGCACCTTCTGAGGGTTTGTCACCAGGTTCTTTTCTAGTCTCATTTTGTTCTTATGTCAAAGCAGAAGACGTGACGCAGTCCAGTATATTTGATGAGCAGATTCGTGGGACTGTCAGAGCAGAGATAATGTCCAAAGCAGCAACCAGGAAAAGGCATAGCTCGCAAGGAACACTTGGCTCGACAAGCGAGAGGAGTTCAAGCGAGAATCCTTTGTCAGGGATTCCATGTATCCAGGGCTCAGTTTCACTGAGGGACACCCTCAGACAAGGTTCCAGTTCGTCGAAGTGCGAACGAAGCTTGGATCAAAATTCCACGTTCACCCGACTGTGGTGCTTATCGACAGAAATAGCGAAGAACACCTAATCCAAAAGGCACCTCTCCTCGCCGAACTCGCTGTATTCATCGCAGAGAACGGCGCGACAGGATTGGTAAAACCCCCAAGGAGATCGCCTGATAGCCAGTCATCAAGGCTGATGGAATATGTTCAGGTGTTCGAATTGTCCATGTGGGGGAAGTCAAACGGTCAAAGATGATGTGGATTGATGTGGTCCCTTCAATTGAATAGGAGTTTCCACTAACCATCCAGCTATTGGGGTACCCCCATGACTATGGAAACCTCCAATTGTCTCATTTGTTTTGTTTTTCCATTTCCTTTTCGGCGTTTTGAAATCCAGGATGAACAGAGCGAAAAGGACGAAACCAATGAGCCGCAGGAAGATCCAGATGAGACATTGGAAGAGGACCTGTAATCCGCTGAGAGTGGTCGAAATGCTGGGAACTACTCTATCTGGCTGGTGTTTTGGAACCTTTTTTACTTTTCCATCTATTGGGAATAATCATCCCAACTGACTCATATTTTTCAGAGGGGGTAGGGCTCAACCACCAACCAGATATAGTAACCCCAACAAAAGATTGAACATATTGAAAAGCGAGTCATAGTAATTCATCACTATTCAAACAGGATGTGATTTATCCATATGTTTGGGGGGTTGTCATTCTCATTTCAACCAGTAACCACTGGTTATTTAGCATAGCCATGGAAGCCATGGCCCATAGAAATAGATGGTTTACCTAGCTATAAAATGGTGGATCTTTCCATGGCAAACTGTAACAAATAACCAGATGGTAACCACTTATAAAGATTCAAAGCTCATCTGGTTGGTGGTTTGGAACATTTTTTCCCATAATATATGGGATGTCATCCTTCCCATTGACTTTCATATTTTTCGGAGGGGTAGGTCAACCACCAACCGGTCATTTTGGGTGTGGGAACCAAAGCATTATTGGTACAGAGCCAAAGTCATTACATCCCAGTCATCCAAAGTCGAGTCCCAGGCCTGTCAAAAGGGCTGCCGCCCCTGTCACAAAGAACGACCATGACTGGGGGCCTAAAACATAACATCTGGTTATGACATTCACAGTTCGCCATGGAAGCCATGGCCCTAATCGAAATAGATGGTTTACCTAGCTATAAGATGGTGATTTTCTACAGCTATGTAACAAATTACGAGATGGTAATAGACAGATATGTTCCATGGCAAACTGTTAGTCATAACCAGATGGCGTCGCACCCATTGATCAAAGCAGACGTGCGATTTTCTGCCACAAAAAAGGAGGAAGCTGATTCGCCTGACCTTGATATCCCCAAAGCCGGGTCCCAGAAGCCGCTTGGCCCTGCGGCCCCATTGGGGCCGTTTGGTGAAGAAGTGTCTGGCACGAGATTTTCTAAGTTGTGCGGATATCACTGTTTCTGAAAACTCAACAGACATGTCTTGAAATGTCTGTTTCTGAAGAAATGTCTGGGGCACGGAGTGAAAGTCCAACTTAGCCTTTTTTTTGAAACGTCATCACTGTTTGGTAATGTCCAAGATTGTTTTTTGGGTTAATTTGCGAAGATGGAAAAGTGGATGATGGTCTCCCCAATGGCATCCAATGATGGTATTTTGAGCCGTCGGCTCTGGCCAAGGTGGAGTAGCTGTGAGTCGCACAATGCATCTCGGAGTGACTGGGGAGTTGGCCATCACAAACTGTGGGTTTTACCCTAGAAATATATGCAACAGAAGCAACAAACTCATGTGTTATTTCCAACCAGAATGGGGAGTTGACGACCCACCTAGGCAAAAGAAAACCAAGTGGGGGTTCCTAAGATAGGGGTACCCCCCAATCATCCATTTATAGATGGATTTTCCATTAACCAATAACCATCCAGCTATTGGGGTAGCCCCATGACTATGGAAAGCCCCAAGTGTGGCATCGGATGTGACCTGAAACGTCTCCCGAAATCGGGGCAGCGGGGCATCTGTTGGGTATGCTTAGCGGTCTTAGCGCCACAGTGAGTACCTGATGATCACGAATTTATGGCTGGTATAAACCTTTTATACCATTAAAAATGGTGTGGTTTAGTTTTCTTGTTTTACCCACATTACCTGCTTTTGCAATGCCGATCGGTGACAAGCAGCTAGAGGTTTTTAGAGCTCTGCAGACGAGCCGTCAGAAATTCCATGGTTGGCTCAGTATGAGAGGGGGCTATGTATGCTACCTCGCTTACTGTGTATTCTAGCCCATGATTGCTAAAATACTGAACCAACCAGACTGATTGTTCAGCACATTCTAGGTAGTTCAGTGACGACAAATGGTTCTTGAATCACGTTTGTGGATAGCACTTTAGTATACTTTAACAAGAAATGCCATAGCGGTCACAGACCCAAACCATCGCGGCATCGAGGCACATAAATGCGTTGATATGCCGCTTGTCCTGATTCGGCATGGCGATCGTTGGCCTGGTCAAAGGCAGTGTTCCAACCTTCCAAAAGGTTTTTTAAGCCAAGAGGATTCTGATATACTGTAAGAATACATTATATATATATATACAACTGTATATACACTATACATATATATATATATATGGGTACATTGTAATGTTTTACTAATCTAAAATAAGGCTATTTTGGAATAGTTACCAGTTGCCCTCACAATTCCCTTACAATTCCCATCGTTCGGTCGCAACGTGAGGTCGCGACATAACCTTGGCCACCATCACCTCCCAGAAATGGTTGATTTTGCGATATAAAACGACCATAGGTTATTGGGGGTACAGCTGGGGGAGGACCGTCCACGGCAAGGCATGAACTCACGTATTTGCGGCATGTGATTCTGAAAAATCATGCGTCAATTTTGGACAATAGTCCGCAATAGTTCTGGCTTTTGCCCATCAGTTCAGATATATGTTGTTTGTTGTCGCCATTGTTCTTGTCGCACTGTCTCTGGATGGGGCCTATCCCTTAGTTTCGTGATCGAATGGTTCTCCGAGGAAACACTGCTGCTGCAATGTGGGGACCACATACGACAAGCAGAAGCAGATCTGCGAAAAGTCAAAGGAAGGCGGTGATTTTGCCGCTTCCAGACGCTTCCAAAGAAGTCCCACAGATAAAGGTCTGATAAAGGTAAATGCCAAAAAATAGAAATTTAAATTGATAAACATGTGAAGTTGGAAGATGTTCAACTTACTGGTGCTTAGTAGGGAATGGATGGGAATGGGGGAATGGGATGATTATTGATAGTTATTGTGGATCATTCCCTCATTCCCTGCTAAGCACCAGTAAGTCAAAGTTCAGATGTTCCGGCCGCCAGATTGTGGGGAGGCGACAAAGACCCAGAAGTCCTCAGCCGCCAGATTCCTCACAGCCGTGCCAGAGCAAGGTGCAACCGATGAGGATTATCCAACTTTTTAAGTGGTGAAAAAAACCCTGGTCAGTCCCACTTCAGTGGATTCTCCCATGATTATCCCATGGAAATGTGGATTCTCCCATGGAAATCAATGGCTTAAAAATACTGCTCAAAAACGTATGGTAAAAGGCGACTGGTGAATGGTTGGCTGCCATTGGGCGGCTGGTAACCGGCAGAGTGGGTTTATCTGAAAAAAAAACATGTTTCCGCCTGTCCGCATGGGTTCTAGAAGGGCTGTGGCTGGTTAATGCATCTTGGGTGGGGATAGTGACCAACAGCAAATGGGGAAAGTCCACTACAGTAAGAACTAAGAATGAGAATGATGCCTCTTGGCCCGAAATCAAACTTCATCAAGAATAAATTCTGGTTGAAAATTGTGAAAATCCCTGAAGTGGATGTTTTGTGCCATTCTGCAGGTTGCCATTCTGTGCTTTCGATTCAATGTACCCTCTGGTAAACTAACAGTTTGCTATGGAAAATTGCCCATAGAAATAGTTAATTTACCTCGTAAAAATGGTGGATCTTTCCCATCAGGTTTTTGTATGTTTACCAGGCCGGGTAAATCCCATTAAATGCCATTAAACCACCATAAACCCTCATTAAATCACCATTGTCCTGTGGCACTATGGTTTTCGATACAATATATTATCTATGATGTATGAACGACAGGTTTGGGACCTGCAAATTTGAACGCCTGGGATCCCAGTGGTGCCGCCGCTGCCCCGATTGCCAGCTCCGAGTTTAGATGTTTTTGCAGATGTATAGATAGAATGTATTTACCCTCTGGTAAACTAACATAACGATGGAAAATCACCATTTTATAGCTGGGTAAATCGACGAACTAAATGGCCATTTTAATGGGATAATAGCTGGTTGGTGGTCTGGAACCATGGATTTTTATGACTTTCCAGATATATTGGGAATTTCATCATCCCAACTGACTTTCATTTTTTTCAGAGGGGTTGAAACCACCAACCAGAGATGTATAGATAGAATTAGACAGAGACATACCTGCAGATGTTAAAAAAGAAGGCCAGCACTTGTGCTATGCCCCAAACTCTTTTAGGATGATTGTTGGGAACCTCATGATTGGTGACCTTTACAGCACTTTGTGTCCTTCCACTATGTTGAGATGATTTAACTTGATGTCCCTCACGACGCTTTGTGAGGGACGTGATTGATGACCCTCTGGTGGGGATTCAGCTGAAATCCTTTCGCTGTGTTCAACACTTTTTACATAAACGTAGAAAAACCCTAGGAAAAATTCTAAATTAACCCTAAAGAAACCCTTAATGAACCCTAAAGAAACCCTAAATGAACCCCAAAGAAACCCTGACAAAAACCAAATATGAAAGTGCATATAGCGAAGTACCTGTGGGGCGTAGCGGTACGTGCTGCGGGTAATAATTTAATATGCATGAATTAATTTTTATACTTATATTGTTCTTTTTGAACTAACTATTTGTTAGTTCGTGTATTAATATGTGTTTACATTTGTGTGGATTTATATGTACTGGTTTGAGTGATTGCACAACACACTTTTTGTTGTTCGGGCAACTGTTGCATCAAACATTGTCCTACCATCCATGCCAAACCATTGTTTTCCCTTAAAACTTCGTTGGGTGGGCTGGTTTTTTAGTTCCCGCTGTAGATTGGAAAACTTGGTTCAGGACATCTCAAATGAGTTAGATGAACTACCTAGTTGCGAGGTACAAACTGCTTGGTGGGACTGTAGACACAGCCCAGTCTATCACATGGCGCATAGCCGCATAGCTCTTCAAATTGGAGCATGAAATATATATCCCAACTGGTTGGTGGTTTGGAACATTTTTTTCCATATATTGGGGATAATCCTTCCCATTGACTATATAATATTTTTCAGATGGGTTCAAACCACCAACCAGCCAAATATATCAAAAAATCGATCAAAATCTGGTTGGATCTGGTGCTTTGGAACCATGGAATTTTATGACTTTCCATTCAGTTGGGAATGGAATAATCATCCCAACTGACTTTCACTCCA